GGTCCCAGGTTCGATTCTGGTCAAGGACATGTACCTTGGTTTCAGGCACATCCCCAGTAGTGAGTGGGTAGGAGGCAGCTGATCGATGTTTCTAACTCTCTATCCCTCGCCCCTCCTCTCTGTAAAAAAATCAATAAAATATATATTTTTTAAAAGTATCCCTCCCCGGTTACTGTTCCACCCCACACCTGGTCCCTGTACTTGGGACCAGGGAAATCTATGCCAGAACTTCTAAAATATACTAAACAAATTTTCATACTTTCAAAAAAATCTGGGCTCCCTATCCAAAGCTTCATTTTTGGTATAAGAAATGGGTATTGAATCACAGTAACCTCTCACTTTAAAAAAATATATATTTTATTGATTTTTACAGAGAGGAAGAGAGAGGGATAGAGAGTTAGAAACATCGATCAGCTGCTTCCTGCACACATCCTACTGGGGATGTGCCTGCAACCAAGGTACATGGCCTTGACTGGAATCGAAGCTGGGACCTTTCATTCCGAAGGCCGACGCTCTATCCACTGAGCCAAACCGGTTAGGGCAATACTTTTATTGTCTTCACTAGCAGAGAGGTGTAGACAGAGAACCCGGAAGGCTGGTGACCTTTGAAGCCCTAGCAAAGGTCAGAGCTGTGCACCACCTCTGTTAATCCAGATAATGGTAGCTGAAGCAACTTCCCCACCTTTACTCATGTAAATCCTTATTGATAAGAATAGTCTGTGTGTCACTGGAACCTCCCTGCCTAAGGGCTATTACTATGGGTTGATCCAGAACCAAATAAAAGGTTGGTGCAGCCTGAACACCAGTGGGAGTCTTTCCTCTTGAGTTGGACTTACCCGCCTGGCCCCCCATTATTTCCAAATTATCTCTTGTCTCTTCTCTTTCATTTGTGTGCGGCTCCTCTTCCAGATCCTGAACCCTGAACCACATGGGACGTGGAGGGAAACATTTACCACAAGGGCCTCTCACTTTTTAAATTGTGGGGACTATTTTTTAACTTGCCAGAGCCAAAGCATGCTTACCCTAGCATCTGTGCATATTTGCTCATTGATAACTCCTTAACTAGGAGTAGGCCACCTGCTAAATTGAAATTCTTTGACATGATCCAGAGTCAATGAAAGACAGGATGCTTTCAGCAAAAACGGCTTTCTAAAACACACTGTCCCATTGATGAAAACATTTATTGAAGAATACCTTTCCAGATTCAGAGCCCAGGCAGGGCACACTGCCTCTCATCTCACATGCATAAAATTGTTCTCCACTCAGTATCTGAGATGGTCCACTTGGGGCCATACGCACATAGTATCATTCCTAAAAATGGAAGATAAAGGTAAGGGCCACCAGAAGTCACACACACACACACACACACACACACACACACACACACACACACACAAAGTTGCAAAAACATGCCTGGGCATACTCGTTACAAATGCATTCTTTGGCTTCTCAGAGAAGCTACTTGAAGGTCACCTCCACTTAAAATCCTTGGCTGGAGAGCTCCTTGTTGCTTTATCACCATAATCTATTAAAATCTAAGAATAGCTGATGATGAAAATTCCAGCCATATTTTTAAATCTCTGTGAGGGGCAGGGGAGAAAAACCAACACATGAGTCTATTTGAAATCATTTTATGAATTTTAATCATAGCAAATGTGTTTTAACAGTAGCATAAAATCAACATTACCACATATACAAAGGACAAGACACCAGTTTGGCATACAAAAATACCATATATTAAAATTGGGTTCATTGGAAAAACGCAGGACTTGCTAAGACACCATCTACAACAGAGAGAGCAAGCAAGAATGCTTTCAAGACATTCAGATTTATAAACAGCAGCTTGATATCCCCCTTATGAAGTCAATATTTGGCAACATTTGGACAATATTTTCTACAAAGCCCAGCAGCTCATTTATCTGTAGGGCGATTCAGCCCTTTAAAAGAAAAGCTCCTAAAATAAATAATACACATAATTTTAAATGAAACATGTCAAGGACTTGAGTGAACAGCCTCTACGAAGCATTAATCTAGCCATTTGACTGGAGTATTAGTTATCCAGAAGACTGGGAACCCACCAGTGGAGCCGTAATGGCAGGAACCCCGTGGAGCAGCTGCATGGCTTATGTTGGGAGCTCATAACCACCCATTGCTGAAACCAGCCTCCCACCTGCAACTGTCAAGTGGGGCAAACAGGAACAAGTGGTGGAAGAAAAAATATAATAAATGACAACAACCAGATAGAAACCAAATATTCTCAAAAGAGTCTTTCCAATAGTATTAACCTATTCAAGTCAGGATACATCCATAGGTACAGTCATTGCATTCCATGGCTAAGATGTGATTAGAGTTTGTCTGTGACTCAGCAACCAACTCTAGAGCAGGCTCTGAAGTTGCCCAGTATGCTGACAATCCCTGTATTCAATTTAAACATCCTGAATTGAATTTGGGAGATCACACTGGAATGACCAATTGTGCTTGGCCATTATTCCCAATTGGTGAGTTTCTTTCAGCTGAAATCCACCACGACTAACCTCCAGCTCCTATACAATTTGTTTTGGAGCTATAATCCCACTACAGATTTCCTTCCCTTTTATGCTAGACCAGTGGTAGGCAAACTGCAGCTCGCGAGCCACATGTGGCTCTTTGGCCCCTTGAGTGTGGCCACGAAGTTTCAATCGCACTGTACGTGCGCACCCGCACGTGGTATTTTGTGGAAGAGCCACACTCAAGGGGCTGCAGTTTGCCGACCACTGTGCTAGACAGATCTGTCCACCTTTTGCTCTAGACCCAAGGCCACATCTCCATCTCTCCCACACAGGAACTACTTCATAGTTGGGTTATCCCTCAGCTAGGAAAACCTGAATAGGAATTATCTGAAGCAAGTGTAAAATACCAGCTAATGCACCCTCCCACGATTTAAACAGAGATGACATGTTAACTCCTTCCCCTTTAAGGGGCATTTGTCTCATCTATTTCCTTCCTCTTACAGTCCAGGCTCCTTCACCACCAGCATATCAAACCTTCCACTTCTGGGTTCTCAAAAAGCAAATTAAAAATTGAGCATACCTTTGGGAAACTCTTGTTAGAACAGCTCAATATCTCACACCCCAGGGAGGTCACAGAGACTTTCACGTGGGCTGCTAGCCCTACATCCCACAGTGATGAGTTTAGAGTGGTGCTGTAGAACAGGAACAGCTATAGAAAACACTCCCAGAAAACAAATAGAATACATGCTGTTGCAAACTTCAAGAGACCCCTCAGTACTTTACCACAAATATCACTGATTGTCCCTAAAAAGATCATAATATGAATAGTATCAAAAACCTTAGACTAGAATAATAAAGTCTAGCTAATGAGATGAGTGTTTTCAAGCACCACTACACCATAAGTGAGATATACATAGTGGGATATCCCAGGCAGTGAATCCTGAAAAAATAAAAAAATAAATAAAGGTCATTGGCTCAACTGGGCAAGGAAACCTGTGCAGAAAAATCAGAGCCACATTCTAAGAGTTCAGGAAAAATGGTGCTCTACCCAAGACCACTTGAGCAAAACCAAACAAGAAGTATTTTTGGAAGACAGAAATTAAATTCCCCACCTGCTTATGGTCTTCAATCATCAACAGATTTCCAATAAAATGTATGCAGAATCCACCCCTTCCTAGATTTGAAAGTCTCAAGATTTTGGTTATATAGACATTCACAATAGTGGATAGTTTGACATAACGTATGCAGTCAATACAATTTATTAAGATATTGACATCTAAATTCAACATTGTATAACCCACAAATTGGAAACATGACAAACAACATTTTTACTTGGTTTTTAACTCGTATTACTGTTAAATTGTGTATCTACATATATATCTATATTTATATGTGAATCAATTGTCAGAAAAATCAATGGCTTAAATATCCACTTATTTTTAAAAAGTGTTTCATGTTGAACAAAATTCAGCAACTAATCATCATCACTTTTGAAGTAGACTACTATTTTCAAAACAGTTACCGAATTATCTTGACTATCTCACTCTTCTTTGGAGTTTGTTTTGGTAAGGATTATTCTGTGGGTGATATTTTACTGAGAATGATGGAAATGGTAAGGAACAGCTCCTTTCTTCTAGGTCAAGGATGACAGAGCAATTGACTGATGACTCGTCTTGTGTGGAAACAAAATGCTGACGGATTAGCAGCAGCATTTTTCTCTGAGAAGAAATTCAAATCTTTTGCATATCACTCCTCCAACAACTTTTGCACCTCTAACTTCCTTGTAAGTCTAACAAAAAGCTATCATTTTGGCAAAAAATAATTTTTAGTAATTTTCAAAAACAAGCTAAAAAAGAACGGTCAATGCCCATTGATGAGTTCTTCCGGGAGGAGGGGGGACAGTCAAGGGGGTCCCGATTCAATTCTGCTAATTAGAAGCAAATGCATTTGGTTTACATTATATTCTAAAAACAATTAAAAACAGACTAACCAATTTTGACACAGCATGGGTTTTCAAATAAAGCAATGGGAACTTTTAAAGTAAAAATCTAGAGTGGAATACTGTACTATCAGGAAGCGTCTGATCTTTCTATGAATATATATATATATATCAAACTGAATTTTCTGCTTCCACTTACTCACTTAAAAAGCAATTTTAGTAACTTCCATAGGTAATGTTTTTAATGTTTAAAAAAAAAAAGTGTCTTTGTGCCAGGCTGCAAATCTTCTATTCTTTCCATGATAATGAAAATAAAATGCAAGACTAAAACAATGTCAAATCTGACTCTAAAAATAGTACCTATGTTTTAGTCTGGCAAATGAAAAATGATGCCCACATATGCCCACACCACATACAATAACAAACTGGAAGACTTCAAGGGCAAACAAAAACACTCTTTATGAACACTGTGAAACATGCTTGCTCTTACACCTCACACCTTACTAATGTAGCAGTGAAGTCTGTGTAAGATGCTGGAAGTGAAGAGAGATTTCATTAGGCTTTTTTTTTTCCCCCCACAGTAACATTTACTTTTTGGCCATAAGACCCTAAACACATTTTCACAGTTACAGGTCATGCATAACTTGCAAGTCGAATGTTTTACAGCTACTGTGCAACTACTATTTTTGGACAATAAATTCACATGCAGCAAATGATCCCAGAAAAGGGGCTTCATAAAGCACTCTAAGCTTCACTGATTGTGCTTTGACCCAAAGTATCTAAGTAATAACCCCAAGGGCAATCAATGAATTTTTACTATCATACTTGAGATCATATACTTTTTAAATCCAGAAAGGTTTGTTTTTAGTCAACTGCATGTTACTACTAAACCACAAACTGTCTTAGCCTTACTCTGTTACTCCTAACACTCTGATGCTAGATATCATTGTACAACCATCCAGAATTGTGCTATCCAATGTGTTAGCCACTAACCACATGAGCTCCTAAATTTAAATAACTTAAAATTAAATACTAAAACACAAAATCCAGTAACTCAGGAAACTAACCCCATTTCAACTGCCTATAGCCAATGTGGCTAGCGGCTACTGTATTGGACTGCATAGGCTACATAATATTTCCATCATCACAGAAAGTTCCACTGAGCAGTGCCAACCTAGAAGATCCCAAGGGCTGCATCCTCATTGGTTTAACCTTCAAGGGATCCACTATTCGGTCGTGAGCAAGATTAAACTTAATTATATATTTAAAGAAAATACCTTAAAGCTTTCTGATCATAAAGTATGACTAGAACTAAGAAATGATTTGCCTTTTCATCACAACTTATGCCCCAGGTTATTGTACAAAAAAATGTTCCAAAGACAATGCTTTTTGATAGCCTACTTGGCTCTACTTAACATATTAAGCATTCTCTTGCTTAGGTCAAGATCATTAATAAAGGTGAAAATTCATGCTTCTTATAGTTTACTATTTACACAACACTCGTCCTTTACACAGAAGGGAAGGATGGAGGGAAACCAATGGCTTGCAATTTTAAAAATTCAAATGACATGGTTTCTTTTAAACTTCTGTAACTCATCCCCTAAATCAACCTTTCTTTCATTTCCTAGAGAGGTAGATGCTAACTAAAATGAATACCAGTATAGAAAGCTACACACACACACACACACACACACACACACACACACTTTAAAGCAAAAGTTGAGTTAGTAAAGGGTATTCATCCACCCTGAAGATCATGCAGAGCCCATGACAGGCCTAGGAAGAAGTACAAAGTTCTTGTCTCCCTTTTGCTGCAGAATTTCAAGCAGCTCTATCAGTCTGTGGGCCTCAATGGACTCACCTACAAATGAAGCCACTGGAGGTTGCTTTCAACTCTAACTTTCTGTGCTTTCAGCTGTGACTTTTTTATTGATATGCAACTGTCAATGCTGGCCGATTGTGCCACTGGACTTTGGTCACATGGGGTCGATGAGTTGTTAGTGTTATGGGTCAATGCCAGAAGAGGCCAGAGTAATGGGATGCCAAATACCATTAAAACATCAAGTCCATAAAAGTTCTATCTGGCAGGCTAAGACATCACACACACACACACACACACACACACGTACACCCTAACAAACAGGTGCACAAGTAACTGTAGGCAGAATTCATTCAAACAGTGTTTTTTATGTCAGTAAGACTCACATAGAAAATTCTGCTTTTGGTTGTTATTGTTATCCTAGGTTGTAAAGTCAAGGTTCTATCACGGAGCTGATAAACTTTGCACTGCTTAATTGCAGCTCTAGCATCGGATTGTTTTTAAGTAAAAGTTACGTGAATGGTAACTTGACTCAATATTTTTACACTAAGAAACACAGGGCGCTGTACTGTCACATACTTTAGTGTCTGTATATAACCTACTTAACACATAGAAGTCTATCAAATACTACACTACACGGCCGGTCATTTCGTACTGTACATAAACATATGTAGATATCATTTACAAAATTAATTGGAATATGGCATGGCTTAAAATTGCAAGGGTAAAGTCCATTTGAAATATAGTGTTCTTAATGCAACATTTCTGTGTTTTTGGTGTTATTTTTTTCCCCCAAAAGGAATAGAAATTGGGTCAGATGTGCATTACAGCAGCCTGGTTCAGTTGGAGAAATTGACACTAACCCAACAGTATATTATGTTACATAATAGAGGATAGCATTCAGCTAATATGATACCTAAATTATTAATACCAAATAAATCCTAGATTTTTGTATAATGCCCAATAGCTTACACAATAAAATGGCATTTTAACCTAATATCTAGTTTGAGCTTTCAAATACATTTCCTAAAGGTCTTATGAAAAATTTGAAAGATTTGAAAAGCCCGAGTTCATATTTTTTTTTATTGAATCCTCACACCAATGAACAGTGTTGGCTCTGGATTCTAGTCATTATATTGTCATTTTATCTCTCCTAATTTCCATCACTTTAATGTGCATATTTTGTGCTGCTTGAAGGTCATAGCTAGCATATAAGTAAATTAAATTGTCTCCATCTTAGAGGGTTATTTCCAGCTTTGCTTTTTGGAGCCAGTCACTGCTTATCTTCCTCTCCCCTATTTTCATGGATTCAATGGAACATAAACAGATATTTATGAGAGGAGTCCTTGTCACATACCACTTGCTTCAGGAATGTCATAAAGGAAATTAGAAGAGGACTGTAAAGCTCACAGCTATTTACACACACACACACACACACACACACCCAGCATAGGAATTCGTCATTTCATCTAGCAAATCTTTCTTTGTGAGCATCTACAGACCATTACCCACTTAAGAATTTAGGATGAACTGGTCCATTTAAATTGAGAATGTGAGTTCTAGGTTTACCTCACCACTTTTCTCAATAAAAACACATTTCCAGATAGAAGAGATATTCTTACTTATACAACAAAAGGAAACTGGAATTCAGAATGGTTCAACTCTCATGGAACAATAATCTCTTTCAAAAAATAACTGTGGACTGTCTATTAAAATGCCAGTCCAGGTTTATCATCGGTTAACAACACTCGTGACTATTACAATATTCCCAAACTGGGAGAAAAGACAGAAGGTTCTGTTACTCTCCATTTGTGACTCACAACTCGACTGCACAAAAGAGGAGCAGGTGTTGGAAGTGACGAGTGTGTGACTCCTCACTGAGTGGGTCCCAGTGCCCAGGAGGTAGGTGGCACCGTTTCAGACCCTGCACTCATTCATGCCTACTGAGTCTTACCACCAAGATTCTTCTGTAAAGATTCAAAACCCGAGGTAAACCGAATTACACACACATATAAATACACAATATCTACATTTAAAATTCTTATTTTGTGAGATGGCTTGAGAAAAATTGGCATATAGTTTTCCTGTGGGATTAGGCATTTCTCATCATTACTCAGTTTATTGCTCCCCTGTTGAGCTTTCCATTTAATAAACACATATCAAGCTCTAATTACAAGGGATGAAAAATGAAGGAACACGACAAACAAAACACAATACATCGGAAACACTTGTTCAAATAGTTTCTTCAAAAAACGACGATCCGCTTAACTTAGTTTAATTCGGGCGCCATTCAGAAAGTATAAAAAGCCTTAGCAACTAAGTGAAGACTGGGTTTCGTTTGTAAAAGGAAAGAAAACAGCACTGCGTGTCGTCACTGAATTGGTCATGGATTCATTCTCAGGTTGGATTCTACTTGTACACATAGCATCTTGGTTTTAATCTACCACATGTAGAGAAGATCACATCGTATGCACTTGCACAGGTCAACATCTAAGTAGAATATGTCTATCTCATCACGTGACTTTGAAAAATCATAAGTTACAGTCCATTTTATAAATGACTACGAGGATGCATGCAATCGCCTTCGAAGCTGCGCCATCAATGCTCAGAGCTTCCCGTCTGGCATCTTTGTTGAGACCTCACATTCTGCCCCTCCGTGTCTGTCTTGGGTTAATTAACTGGCAGCCCGGAGGCCAGCGCTCGGCACCAAATGATCAGCGTCGCCCCCATCTTCTCACCCGAGTTCCATCATCAACGCCTGCTCCACCCCGAGTTGGCACCCACCAGTCACACCCCCGCAGCCCGCTTCAGCCACAGGATATCACAGTGAAGCGCTTGGAAATGCAAGACATGTTGTGGAGCACGATGCCCAGCAGGAAGACCAGGACGCAGGCCACCAAGATCACAGTGCACACCCCCGACCAAGTGGAGCTTTTCACCACGCCCCGCCGGTCTGGCTCCTCCTCCGCTGCCTCCGGGGGAGCCCCGCCTTGCAGAGGCTGCTGCTCCGCAGGGATGGTCACCACAGTGACTGGCTTCTGCTGGCTCCCGGGCAGCAGGCGGCAGCCCATGTTTCCGGGCAGCAGCGCGCGCTCCTTGGAGATGGGAAGGGGCAGCATGTAGCACCCGTTGCTGGGAAGTTTGATGAAGACCGGGGTGTGCTCGGAGGCGTGCGGGATGGCGATAACGCTGAGGACCTCGGGGTCATCGGGGAGCTGTGACACGGAGAAGCCCGGAGGCAGCTTGGTGATGCCTCGGCACCACGGGCACCTCACGTCCTTCTGGCTCGTCCTCATCTGCTGGAGGCACACCGAGCAGCAGGTGTGTTTGCAATCCAGCAACTTGGGCCTTCGCCGGGGACTGTAATAATTGAAACAGATCTGACATTCCAGCAAGGAATCTTGGGAGAGCGTCTCCATCGTGCACTGGGAACAGGAAGGTCAAGGCCACAGGGAAGAAGCTTGCCCTCAGAGGCCGCTGCTCCAGCACCTGCCTTCTCTGAGGCTTCCCAACGTCGTGAGGTGATGGGGGAGCTCACAGGCATCGAGCATGCTCAGGTGTGTTCATTTCTGAAGGAGACAAAAAAATGCAGACAAGTTAGTTACTTCAAACAAGCTGAGACGGCAGCATATCTGACGGATTTACACCACTGCTCAAAAGTCTTGACACTAGGTCAAACGCTTAAAACTGCCCCACCTGTGAGACCGTAGGATTCCTGTAATGTCCAGTGGCCGGTGAATGGCTTATCACAGGCGGCTTGTCATGGCACATACTTTGCTCATTTCTAAAGGCACAGATGCCTCTGGGGTAGATGGGTACACAGTGCCCCCATATTTCATAAAAGGGGGCGACTGTTTGTTTTGTATATTTCAGTGGACCTGGATTATTCTTCTAATACATCAGAGAAACTCTCTTGCTTCCAATAAGTTTGCAGAATTTTCTGAAAGTAAATTTCTTTCCTTCAATCTTCTGACCTTCTTTCGCTGACTCTCCTCCTCTTGTAGGTACTCATTGCCAAATGCAGCCAACTTACAACCCAAGTACTTTGTGTAACTAACTTGCCCCTTTATATGGGTTAGGCCTGTTCCTCTCTCATAGGTCACTGGAATGATGCCAAGAACACACACACAGGCATCTGTTATCTTTTCCACCAAGTCCTTTGAACCAAGGTAATTCTTGTCAATTGGTTCCAAAAGAGACAAAAACAAAACAAGACACAAAGTACAAGACATCACAACCAAAACCACCAGCAGCAATGAACCTTCAGGCAGCCGGGGTCACAAAGGCACACAGGACCATGAATATTTTTCAGGCAGTTCTATTCATTTCGCTCCTACGTAGGCTTGTACCAAGTAAGATGACCACAAGCAAAGACTATTAATGAACTGATCCTAATCAAATATCATATAGTGAAAGGTTGTCAGAAGACTGGCAGGCAGCCTTCGCCATAAAAACAGGAGCACAGTGTTAGCCTCCTGGTGTGCACCAGAAGCAGAGTAACTGGGTATCACTTAACTGGGGCTGGAGGAACCCCTTAGTGCTCCAGCGGTGGCAATAAAGACTGCCCAACTCCATTTCCTATTGAAAGCATTCAAATGTGTCTCTGGATGGAGCCATCATTCTGAAACGAACTACTCAACCACTATTGTAGAAATAATTGCTAGTCCTGGAAGCCCACCCACACACAGAGGCAGGAGCTAATGACATAGAAAAGCTCTTTCATGTTTTTCTTAAAAAGCGAACCTTCTTTTTCTTTTCTTTTTTTAAAATATATTTTTATTGATTTTAGAGAAGAAGGGAGAGGGAGAGAGAGATAGAAATATCAATGATGAAAGAGAATCATTGATCAGCTGCCTCCTGCACATCCCCTACTGGGGATCAAGCCTGCAACCCAGGCATGTGTCCTTGACCGGAATCAAACCTGGGACCCTTCAGTCCCCAGGCCAATGCTCTATCCACTGAGCCAAACGAGCTAAGGCGAACCTTTTTTTTCTAACTTCCTCTGTGAAGTTAAGAATGCACAAGATGCCACGTGTTAAAGTCAAAATTAAGAAGAAGTTTAAAGTAAAAAAAAAAATCACTGATAAAAATTAACAGTGATGCCCTGGCTGGGTGGCTCAGTTGGTTGGAGCATCATCCTGTACACCAAAATGTGGGTTCGATCCCCCCTGGTCAAGGCATGTATGGAAGGCAACGTGTCTCTCTCTCTCTTTCTCTCTCTCTCTCTCTCTCTCTCTCTCCTCTCTCTCTCTCTCAAAATCAGTAGAAATGTTTCCTCAGGTGAGGATTAAAAAAAAAATTACCAGTGACAATCAAGAGAGCAACATATTTTAAAAATATTTTAGCTGTAGTAAGAGCCCCTACATTACATTATTAAAAGTAAAATATAGCAATATAGCATTCAGAAAGTTCATATCATAATAAACTATTTATTCATCCACTGATTCAAGAAATGTTTATTGAATAATTAAAATTCACTAAGAGTAGAACTTTAATGTTCTCACCAAAAGGAAAAACAAAGAATATAAACATGTCAGGTGACATATATGTTAATCAGCTAGATGGGGGGAATCCTTTCACAATGTATACATTTACCAAATCACCACACTGTACACTTTAAATATCTTATAGTTGTATTTGTCATTCAATTTGCCACAATAAAGCTGAAAAAAATAAAAAAGAGTATCTATCATGCACAAATCCAGCTACTGTAGGATATGAAGAAGAATCACACCCTAACCGGTTTGGCTCAGTGGACAGAGCGTCGGCCTGCGGACTGAAGGGTCCCAGGTTCAATTCCAGTCAAGGGCGTGTACCTTAGTTGCTGGCACATCTCCAGTAGGGGGTGTGCAGGAGGCAGCTGATTGATGTTTCTCTCTCATCCGATGTTTCTAACTCTCTATCCCTCTCTCTTCCTCTCTGTAAAAAAATCAATAAAAAATATTTAAAAAAAAAAAAAAAGAATCAGCCCCAAATCCAACACTTAAGCAATTTAAAGTTAGGTAAGAATGACTATATATTTTTCTCTTCCTTTCATTTATTCATTAAATTTTCATTGAATATCTACCATGGTTCAAGCATGATGGTATTTGTTTTTGTTCCTTGTAGCTAAGACCTTGTCACTGCCCATAAGAAGCTCCCAGCCTGAAAGGACTCAGCAGTTATAAACACAAAGTGCTGTGTGACATACAGGAACTGGAGGAATCAGGGACTAGTCTGGATTATGGAGAGGATTTAGACATGTAAAATCAGAGGACAGGTCCTTTTCAGGTCAGAATCAGCCCGAGCAAAGGAAAGGAGGTGAGCAACCACAGGATTATTTCTATATAGCAGGTGTGGCACTGACTAGGGGATTTTTTTTCTAACAAGAGTAACTGAAAGATCCCATCTCTAAGAGTTTTCTAGTTTTAGCTCTTACTTTGAGGTTTTTGATACAGATACCTGTTAAAGAAACAAAGTTCTCACAAAACCTGCAAGCACCCTCCCACAGGCGCAGGCAGGGACAGCAGGTCCTACAGGGAGAGAAGAGATGAGCATAGCCAGGCCTATGTCAAGGGCATGTACTTTGATGGGGCCACTTCCTCACTGGCCAAGCAGGGAGGATGGAGTTGTGGCTGAAGGTCAAGTGAGTTCAGAATCCACATACTGCCAGGCAGTGAAGGACTCAGTGCCAGTCCCGACTGACTGTCCCTGCTACGCTGTGTGTGACCTGCCCAGAGGCACTTCGGGCTCTCAAAGAACTGCCCTTTCAAACAGATTGGGAGGAATGAGCGTTCCCCTTGGCCCTGCCCCAAGACCTGCCACACCTTCCCCCCCGCCCCCCCAACAAAACCAACATGCAATTTTACTCATGAATTTATGTTCCGAGTAATGTTCACTTAATTGCTGTTAAGCTTTCTTCAAATTAGATTATACTACTCAAATTTCCAACTCCATCCAAGTAAGCTCTAACCCTTACCATACAGGCTGAACACAAAAGCAGAACGGTGACACAGCTCCGTGCTCAACCACTCAAGCCACTTTGACAGCAGCCTCTCTGATTATTCACCGATTTGATCTCTACTAAGCCAGTTGGTACTGCATTCCAGTTTGCTTTCTGGAGCATAACCAGTAATGATGATGATTCGTTAGGTTAAGAGAAGAACATTTATGAGACTATGGACCGAAGCTAATGATGAATCATTCGTCCTCCCTTTCATCATAAACTCAAAAGATGTGAGTCAATATAGAAGAAAGAGAATGGAAACAAGGGCCACATTAGCTAGAAAAGAAAACTCCAAGTTCATAGTCAAAGACACAAGCACACACCAGTGACTGCTTTAGAAGCCTGTGTTTGGCAAGATGGGATGCCTAAATACTCATTAAATTTAAAAGGAAAGAATACTTTGCTGGAATGTATAAGAACAAGTATACACTGAAATATACTGGAACAATATTTAAATGTCACCACAATTTATTTTGAAAGATCCTAAAGTAAAGAGCAAAGAGAAAAACAGACCACCAAAAGGGAGGGCATTCTCAAAATAATTATGGCTTACAGGATAGAACTTATAGCTTCATAAAACGGTACTTAGTTTCATATATAATATCAATTGTACCATATGCAGATAACAGGCTTTGACTAATCATTGAACTCAATATTAATACATGCCTTGGTTTTAAAATACTTTTAAAAACGAATGGAGATGTATTTACATGGGGGAGGAGTGATTTGGGGGGGAAACTGTCAAAACCCAAAGGGGTCTGTATTGCTGCTACTGTTTGGGGCAATAGATATCTGGCACTTTATAACATTACATATTTCCACAAAATAAAAATTCTTTTAAATACTTTAAATTGATTTTTAGATAGAAACATCAATGTGAGAATAAAACACAGATCAGCTGCCTCCTGGATGCCCCCTACCAGGAACTGAGTCCATAACCTGGGTATGTGCCCTGACCAGGAATAAGCCAGCAACCTTTTGGTGCACAGGATGACACCCAACCAACTGAGCCACACCAGCCAGGGCTAAAATTTCTTCTTTAAAAAACAACAACAACAAACTCTGTTATTTTAAGCATCTTTATAAAAGGTGTGAATATGACTTTAGTGACTGGTAAAATCACAAAGGTCTCCAACACTGAATTTTTATAAACTCTATTGCTTTTAGAAGTCCAGGCATGAGGGGGAGGAAAAAAAGCCAATGAAATAAATAATCCAGAGCGTTCTACTCTTATAATCTTTCACTATTATACTCTTTCAAAGACTCTTCATACATCCTGATTTAGGTTTGCAACATAGCATTAATTATGGAGCCTCAGAACTGTTGCAAGAACTGATATTGATTACACCTGTCTGACCTTGAATTTTTCCATTTGATGATCTAAATGAGGACCTTAAAATTCAATGGTTGTGGTGAGAAAAATCTCAGTCAGATATGAAACTAGACACTCTACTATTTTTCTTATACTGTTGAAACAGCATGTCTTTCTGATGCAGGCCATTTCCTTCATTCTTCGAGAAAATGTAAATATTTGAAATGGGATCAGACAAAATAATTACAATTCCATTTAACTTGGTATTTCAG